ACATTCTTAGGGGTTTATGCTTGGATCTTAGAGGGAATATTGATACTTAGAATTGAGTCATGCTTGGTTGGGAAGGTGGCTCAGTGGTAGATTGCTTGCCTTTCATGCATGAGGCCCTGAGTTCGATTCCTTAGCACCACATAAGCAGAAAAAGCCAGAAGTGGCACTGTGGCTCAAGGTCTAGAGCACTTGCCTTGAGCTGAAATGCTCAGGGACAGCACTCAGGCCCAGAGTACAAGCCCCACGACCAACAAAAAAGATGAGATAGGAAGGATGAGGATGTTGTGTATGGAAGGGCATTAGGGGTAGGAAACAGTATAAGGCCTAAGGCTGTGAGGCAAAAGAAGTGCTTGATGGTTTCAGGGGTTAGCAAGGCTGGCAAGCAGGGCAGGAATGTTGGAGGGAGCCCAAATGAAGAGAATTGAGAAATAGAAATAGATAGTAGGACTGTGGAGAGTATTGAGCTGTGGTATGGAAGGCTATCCATCCAGTAGGATACTGAGTACCAGAGTCAAGTAGATAGCCTACTGGGTGACTAGAAAATGTCCTGAGACAAGGGTGGCCATGAAGCCTCAGTGGACAGGAATTTGAGTTTCAGTACTTCTACAGGCATGGATGAAGGCCTCTTTTGGGGTGTGTGGTTTCTATCAGTGGGCCTTCTGTCTTCTGGCAAGTTGAATAGATGCCCCTGCAGGTACTGGGCTTAAATTAGATCAGGATAGATCTTTGTTGAGAACCATTGAACTTGAAGGATCTGCCCCAAGGACATAGACTATGAAACCAGGCGCAGAGGTAGTAAGCCCAGACTCTTCCTGACAGCCTTCAGATAAAGCCCTCTCTTTGCTTGCAGGCCTCGGATCCTGGAGATGGACAAGGAAGAGAACCGCCGCTCAGTGCTGCTGCCCACACACCGGCGGAGGGGTAGCTTCAGCTCTGAGAATTACTGGCGCAAGTCTTATGAGTCCTCAGAGGACTGTTCCCAGGTGGCAGGAAGTCCTGCCCGCAAGGTGAAGATGCGGAGGCACTGAGGCCTGCCCCACCCTCCTGGAACTCTGGTTAATCCTCATGTAGCTGCCCCTTTTTCTGTTTTGTTTTGAGGGTTTTTTTTTTTTGTGGGTTTTTTTCCCCCTATATATTTTTTTCTTTGGTTTGTTGCCCATTAAGGCTGAAGAACAGAATTGGCCAAGATCTGGGTTCTTCTGTTTTGGCTTTCCTCCTGGATAGAAAGGCTGTTGGTGTCTGTAAGGGACAGAGCTCATGCTGGAATAGACAGTAGAGGTATGAGGGATAGCTGTGTTGGACTGGCTTTATTTAAAAGGAACAAAATGTTTTGGTTAAGGAATTTTTGTTTTTGCTTTAAATGTAAACTTCTTTGTTCTAAACAAGTTCAGCCTCCTGCCCACCCTTCCTCCACTAATGTTCATGCTTGGTCCAGTTTTATTGGAGCCCTGTAGGCTCTGTTGTGGGGCCTACTAACCCCCCACCTCTCACCTGCTCTCCAGGCTCTGGAAGCTCATGCAAACACCCTTGTCCTCCTGTTCTTTGGGTTGGTTGGGTGGGGGTACTTAGTGCCAGTCCTTGACACCCCAAAGCAATTGCTGAGCGTCCTGGGCTTCCTCCATGCCCTCTGGCCTGCTCTGCCCACCATTCCTCCTTGCCAAGAGCATGCCTCTTTGCTGGATTGCCTTTTAGGCATATGCATTTGATTGTATGGAACAGGTAGACTTGCCATGTTGGATCAGTTTTAGGAATTGTTTCTAGCTAGGACTGGTGTCCTTCCAAGTCTAGCATTTGGAATATGGGAAATTGTTGTGGTGTGTGGTAGGATTTTTTTTCTTCTGTTTTGGGGGGTTTTGTCTCCTCCTCCCTCTTAGCTTTCTCTTCCTTTTTTTTCTTCTTCATTGGCCAGTTTGGGCCTCCTCCTCATGTCATCCTTCTAGGAGGGTGCCTGCCCCTATTTCCTCCTGCAGCTTGCATCCAAGGCCAGAACTCAGGCCTGCAGACTGGGTTGGTGCCTTCTCTGCCTCAGGGGTGTAGGAACTGGGGAAGGGGCTTCTAAAAAATAAGTCTTCAGCAGTTTTTACCCACTCAGATCCTGGAAGGCTGCAAGATTTTGCTGATCTAAAATTCATTAGGAATGACTTCTTGCCAGTCAGGCCAGGACCTGAGCTTGCCAAAAGCAAAAGCCCTCCTGGCAACCGGGCCACCACCACTCCAGGAGGTTTTGTGTACAGAGACCTGGACCTGAAGCCTCAGAAGCTGCAGAAATCTGGGGCACCACCATCAAGAAGCCTCTCTCAGGGGCCAGAACTCCTTTGCCAGCGTGGATTCCTCAAGTTGGGACTGCATAACTAAAGCAGTTGCAGTTTTATTTTTTTTACAGCTTTTTTCCCAAAAAATGATTTGTAGTTGTGTGTGCAGCACTTTGCCCTGATATGTGTGCTCTACAATAAAAACCAAATCTAATATATTTTGAAACAATTGTCTGATGCTGTCATACGAGAAAGCTTGCTTTTGATGCTTCCTTAATCTCTATTTTCTGAGCCTTTGAACAGGTGTTGGGGAAGTGGAGTATATTGCTCACCTGAGCTCAGGACTACCAGAGACCAGCCTCCTAATGGCTAGAGGTGTACTTGTCCTTTGCCTACTTCTTTCTCTGCTCCATAGTCTTTGTAAATCTTCCTATCTTGGCTGTGGTCAGAGAGACTACTGCCCAGTGAAGAGGAAGCAGCCTGAGCTGCAGAAAGAAACTGACCTTTGTAAAGGATGTGTAAATGATGTTGCTCAAATTATTGAACTCTCCTGTGTGTGCTGGCCAAGCCTTTATTGTAGTGAACACAGCCCTTCTGGTCCCTGTTGTCCAAATGTTCACAGTAGCATTCAAGATAGGGGTACAGGCATAAAGCAGAGAAGCTGAAGACCTATGGGCTTTAATTCTTCCAGATCTTTGATCTCTGTCTGATGGATCCTGGCCAAACACTTCAGTCTAGAGTCTCCTTCACTCTTTTCCAAAGATCAGGTCCAGTCTGCATGCTGAATTGTGGGAACCTGGACAAATCCTTGTCCATTTACCAGCAAAGACAGTTCAGAGGGAACAAGTAGATGACTGGGGTATTTGGTCTGTGCCAACTAGGCCCCATTCCTTCCCATCTCCCCCTGTAGGGGCACAGTGGACGTTGGATACCCTGGAGGGAGGGGGCACATTGAGGCTGGAAGGGAAGTAACAGGCTGAATGTTATTCAGGCTACATTCAGCAGAAGTAAGCCCCCCCAACCTTGTGCCTGGTTCCTTTGCTCTAGGTAAATCAGATTAGAGGACTGAAAGGATGGGAGCTATGATAAAAATCAAAGCTAGGTTCTTTCAAGCCTCACTATTGACCAAAAAAAGAAAAAAACTGAAGCTAAGAATCAGGGGCTCAAACCTATAATCCTAGTTACTCAGGAGGCTGAGATCTGAGGATTGCAGTTTGAAGCTCGCCTTCCCAGGAAAGCCATGGGACTATTCCAATTAACCACCAGAAAAGCCAGAAGTAGAACTGTCAATTGAGTGCTAGCCTTGAACACACAAAAACTCAGACAGCATCCAGGCCCTGAGTTCAAGCTAGGACTGGCACATACACACAAACCAGAAGCTCCAGTGGCTCATGCCTATAATCCTAGCTACTCAGGAGGCTGAGATCTGAGGATCACGGTTCAACACCAGCCTGGACAGGAAAGTCCATGAGATTCTTAGCTCCAGTTAATTAGCAAAAAGCTGAAATTGGAGCTGTGGCTCAAGCAATAGAGTATTAGCCTTGGGAAAGCACAACAACAAAACACCCAGATCTCAGCCTTCTGAATAGCTGGGATTATGGGTGTTTTTGAGCCAGTTTTCACTTTATAGTCCAGGTTGACCTCAAACATACTGTGTAGCCCAAACTGGCCTTGAACTTATGATGCTTCTGCCCCAGGCTCCCAATGTCTCATACGCACACACACTTTCAAGGCTGCTAACATGCTGGGGCAAGTACTCTTACCACTAAACTATACTCCACCCCTACAAAAATTATTGAAAATTTGCTTGTTTGTCTTCTGCAGTACTTGTGAACTTGCTAGGAAAATTTGCCATGGAAGTAGCTGGATGCTGGGTTGGTCACACCTGTAATCCTAGCCTAGCTACTCTGGAGGCTGAGATTTGAGAATTGCTGTTCAAAGCCAGGCCAGCAGGAAAGACAGACTCTTTTATCTCCAATTAACCACCAGAAAACTAGAGTGGAACTGTGGCTCAAAATGGTAGAACACTAGCCAGGCCTGTCATCCTAGCTACTCAGGAGGCTGAGAACTGAGGATCATGGTTCAAAGCCAGCCCAGGCAAGGAAAATCCGTGAGACTTATCTCCAATAAACCACTCAGAAAACAGGAAGTGGTGCTGTGGCTCAAGTGGTAGAGTGCTTGCCTTGAGCAGAAAAGCTGAGGGACATGGCCCAGGCCGAGTTCAAGCCCTACAACTGACAAAAAAAAAACAAAACACTGTAGAGCACTAGCTTTGAGCACAAAAGATCAGAGATAGCACCCAAGCCCCATGACTGACAAAGAAAAAAAAAAATCTTGGAAGTGACTCCAACATACCATTGGATTTCCATTGAACAGAGAAGGGATACTGTAAGTTGCTGTGTTGAGGACTCAGGATAAAGCCAGGGCATTATCAAGTGACTAAGAGATGTGAAAACACTGGAGTTGGGGCCCCTCATGTGGGGAATTGGGTGGGAGTGGGAAAAGCAAAGCTTTGGATCTTGACTAGGTTTGGGGTCCCTCCATTGCTTATTGGTGCAGTTCTGCCTTCTTCCCACAAGGTGGCAGCAGAACCTGAGTGATGGCATCCTCTTGGCAGCAAGGGAGGGTAGTCTCTGAGTTTAGATGGGTAAGTGAAGTCCCTACAGAGGCCCCAAAACCTGCCAGTGTTTACCCAGAACTCAGATTCCCTACTGCTCTGCTTTGCTAAATCAGTACCTTTAGGACAAGTGTGGAAGAAGCCTGGAACCTGGGGATAAGCAGAGGCCCAGGTGCCACATACAGATATGGTCAGAGCTCCTACCCTGGGTCTTATACTACCTCTTGTACTTTCCCAGCTCCTTAGGGAAGACCTGTGTGCTTGTACATATACATATGCCAGTACCCTTTGCCACAGGCAGCTCTGCTCAAGCCAAGCTATTGCTCTGGCCCTACCCAGGACTCCTCTGTCCCAAATGTCTGGCTTCCTTCTACATAGCCTCAGAATATTTCTACTCCAAACTGGGAGTTTAGAACCTGATTTCCACCCTTCCTCCTTTCTTCCTTTCTCACAATGAGTGAGACCTTGTACCTACCTACAAGGCTTAAAAGAACATGAGGTACTGCTGGGTGCTGGTGGCTCAGATCTGTAATCCTAGTTACTCAAGTAGTAGAGCCCTTGCCTTGAGCTGAATTGCTCAGGGACAGCACCTAGGCCCAGAGTTCAAGCCCTACAACTAACTCTCCCCACCCCAAAAAGAAGTATACATTTCCTGGGGACTTGCCTCTACATACTCTTAGTGTGTGCTAGTCTGGCTCAGCAATATCCTAATCACCAACTTACCCCATATACCTTATCAACCACCACTTCTGTGGACTCAGCAATGTGGGTGTGTACACACACACACACACACACACACACACACACACATTGTTGTGGGGTCTGAACTCAGGGCCTGGGTGCTGTCCCTGAGCTCTTGCTCAAGGCTAGAACTCTGTCACCTTGAGCCACAGCTCCATTTCCAGTTTTCTGGTGGTTAAGTGGAGATAAAAGTCTTATGGACTTTCCTGCCCATGCTGGCTTTGAACCACAATCCTCAGATTTCAGCCTCAAGTAGCTAGGATTACAGGCATGAACCACCAGTACCTGGCTAAAAATTATATATTTAAGCCAGACATGACAGAACATTCCTGTAGTTCCAGCACTATAATGAGGTTGAGGCAAATGACTTTGAGTTGAGGCTAGCCTAGGGTTCATAGTAAGACCCTGTCTCAAAAACTGAAACAACAGCAATAAAAAACAAACAAGCTGGGTGCCGGTGGCTTACGCCTAGCCTGTAATCCTAGCTACTTAGGAGGCTGAGATCTGAGAATCGAGGTTCAAAGCCAGTCCCAGCAGGAAAGTCCATGAGACTCATCTCCAAAAATTAACTATCAGGAAACTGGAAGTGGCACTGGCTCAAGTGGCAGAGTGCTTACCTTGAGTTGAAGAGCTCAGGGACAGCTCCCTAGCCCAGAGTTCAAGCCCCAGGACTGACCAAAAACAAACAAACGGGGGCTGGGAAGTTAGCTCAGTGGTAGTTTGCCTTGTATGTGTGAGGCCTGGGTTTGATTCCTCACCACCACAAAATCAGAAAAAGCCAGAAGTGGTGCTATGGCTCAAGTGGTAGCTAGCCTTGAGCTGAAGAGCTGAGGGACAGTGCCCTGGCCCAAAATTCAGGCCTCATGACCACAAAAACAAACAAACAAAAAACAGAACCAATACCTATTATCTCCAGGCATTGTTCCACTGGGGAAACAACAGTGAAAAACATTTATCTTTTTTTTTTTTTTTTAGCCTTGCTGGTCATGGGGCATGAACTCTGGGCCTGGGCGCTGTCCCTCAGCTCTTCAGCTCCAGGCTAGCACCCTACCACTTGAGCCACAGCACCACTTCAGGCTTTTTCTGCTTATGTGGTGCTGAGGAATTGAACCCAGGGCCTCATGCATGCAAGGCAAGCACTCTGACACTAAGCCACCTTCCCAGCCCCCAGTGAACAACATTTAGAAACTCCAATCATTGAGTCTGGGAGCCTGGTTCAGCGGTAGATGACTTGCCTACCACGCATTTTTTGTTTGTTTTGTTTTTTTGTTGGTCATGGGGCTTGAACCCTGGGCCTGGGCACTGTCCCTCAGCTCTTTAGCCCAAGGCAAGCACTCTGCCACTTGAGCCACAGCCAGCACAACTTCCAGTTCTCTGGTAGTTTATTGGAGTCTCACAGACTTTCCTGCCCGGGCTGGCTTTGAACCGTGAGCCTCAGATCTCAGCCTCCTGAGTAGCTGGATTACAATTATGAGCCACCAGCACCCAATCCTGCCATGCATTTGAAGAGAACATGGGTTTGATTTTAGTTTCTTAGAGCAAAGCTCCAACCTTAAACAGCTCATTCTCAAGCAGGGCAGACAATATGCACAAAAGAAGTCAAATAATATCAGTGGCAGTGTAGGTTGTTAGGGGAACAGATTGGATTTAATCTTCCACAGGCAAGGACTTTTCAGCAACGGGTAACAACCTTCTCATAGGATCAGAGGTTGTGCAAGAAGGTGGATTGGAGTTAGGCTTTTTGGGGGGGGGTGAGCAAGGAAGTAAAGGTTAAGGAAAAGGCCATTAGATCTAGGGAGGTGGGCTTTCGGTTGGGGTGGGCCCACATGGAATGTTTATAGCCAGGCTTAGGTGGATTGACCTGCCAGCATCAAGCAGTCCATGCAGATCTGGTGGCTTGCCTGATGTCTGTGTGCACCTGGAAAAATGGGGTGGGGTAGGGTGTCAATCCTTCATATTCTGTCTTTAGGTACATAAGAAGATTGGGCCAAGAGGGGAGAGGTAAGTCCTTCATAGGTCTGTGGTCTTAGTTACTCAGGAGGCTGAGGCAAGATGCGCCTTTGAGCCCAGGAATTTGAGGTTAGCCTGGTCTACATACAATACAAAGCAATCCTGATGCTGGTGGCTCATGCCTATAATCCTAGCTATTCAGGAGCTGAGAATTGAGGATTACAGTTCAAAGCCAGCCTGGACAGGAAAGTACATGAGACTCTTATCTCCAATTAACTGCCAGAAAACTGGAAGTGGTGCTGTGGCTCAAGTGGTAGAGCACTAACCTTGAGCTGAAGAGCTGAGGGACTGCACCCAGGCCCAGAGTTCAAGCCCTACAACTGACAAAAACAAAGCAACAACAACAAAAATGGCTGAGGTATGGAAAGGCACCTATCTACCTAGTATGGATGAAAGAAACCCTGGATTCCATTGTAGCACTGCAAAAATAAATACCTTTAGGTCTGTCCCTATAGGCGGCTGTAGTAATCACAGGCCTGGATAGCCCTGGGGAGGAAATAGTCATTAGTGCCCCAGCCTCTCCCTCCACAGTGCCATTCCTGAGCCCTGCCTCAACATGTGGACAGGCTGGGCCTGCCTGTCCAGGCCTCAGTTTACCCATTCTTATCTCTGTGTCCCTTTTTAACCCCCACTTAACCTAATCAGATGGGGCCAAGTTGGGTCTTCTGAGTCATCTAGGAAAAGGGCTGGTTTACAAATCCAGATTCTGGGGACCCTTCCCCACACATTTGGAGATCGAGAATCTTCATTGTTAACAAATGGCATTTGTTTCTGACATTTATGTTATTTATTTATTTATTTTTGTTGGTCGTGGGGCCTGAACTCTGGGCCTGGATGCTGTCTTTCAGCTCTTCAGCTCAAGGCTAGTGCTCTACCACTTGAGTCATAGTGCCACTTCTGGCTTTTTTTCTGTGTAGGTGGTGCTGAAGAATCAAACCCAGGACCTAATGCATGCTAGGCAAGCACTCTACCACTAAGCCACCTTCCCAGCCTGTTTCTGACATTTTGAGAGCCCCTTCCCCTGCCTGTCTTCCAATCCCCTCTCCCTGGTAATCTCTTTTTTTTTGGGTCCGGTCGTGGGGCCTGAACTCTGGGCTGGGTGCTGTCCCTCAGCTCTTCAGCTCAAGACTAGCGCTCTACCACTTGAGCCACAGCGCCACTTCCGGCTTTTTTTTTTGGCGTCTGTGGTGCTGAGGAATCGAACCCAGGGCCTCATGCATGCAAGGCAAGCACTCTACCACTGAGCCACCTTCCCAGCCCCTGGTAATCTCTTTATCCATATACTGCTGCTCGAACTTTCCTCTCTGTTCAGGATCGCTTTTGTGAGTCAGATGCCTTCTCTGGGTAGAGTTGGTTGTGGTCTCCACTCAGCTCTGTTCTGCTGCTTCCTAGGAGTGAAGGGCATGGATGCTTGCTTTCATTCTGCCTGAACACCAAGTTCCACTGCAAAAATGGAGACCAGGATGGCCTGGGACTTACCTAGAGGTAAATTGTCAAACAATTAACAAGACCAAAATAATATCAACTAACTCCACCTGATCCTTCCCATATGCCTAGCATGTTCTAAGAACCAGACAAATAGCAATTCATTTAATCTTTGCAGTCTTTAAGGTAAGTACTAGCTAGGATCAGCAACATTTTTACAGATGGGGGAAATTGAAGCACAAAAGAGCATAAAGTAGCTTGCTTTAGGTTGAAGGTCTTATAGATAGCAAAAGGGACTTGATTTTTTTCTTTTGGGTTCAGTGGCAGAACAGTAACCACAGCCAGGACCTCTGAGCTGCCTGAGCTGGTAGGCAGTGGCCATTGGGTCTGATCCTTCTCAGTGGGGCCAGTTCTGTCCACTAGAGCTTCCCTTGCCATTGCCAGCCTGCATCAGCTTCCTCATCTATAAAACTGGGAGGGCAGGCCAGGCTTCAGTGCCTCAGGCTGGTTATCTTAGCTATTTAGAAGGCTGGGGCTGAGAAGGTGGCTCAGTGGTAGAACGCTTGCCTTGCATGCATGAGGCCCTGGGTTCGATTCCTCAGCACCATATAAGCAAAAAGAAAAAAGCCGGAGAGCACTAGCCTTGAGCTGAATAGCTGAGGGACAGCGCCCAAGCCCAGAGTTCAGGCCCCATGACCAGACACACACACACACACACACACACACACACACACACACACACAAAAGAAGGCCGAGATCTGAGGATCTCTGAATCCACCCTAGAGAGGGAAAGTCTGTGAGATTCTTAGATTCTTATCTCCAATTTTACCAAGAAAACAGTAGTGGAGCAATGGTTCAAGTAGCAGTAGAGGGGCTAGGAAGGTGGCTCAGTGGTAGAGTGCTTGCCTTCCATATATGAGGCCCTGAGTTCGATTCCTCGGCACCAAGTAGGCAGAAAAATCCGGAAGTGGTGCTGTGGTCTTGAGCTGAAGAGCTCAGGGGCAGAGCCCAGGCCCAGAGTTCAGGCCCCACAACCGAAAAAGAAAACAAAAACAAAACAAAAAGTAGTAGTAGAGATGCCAGCCTTGAATGAAAAAAACTAGGGTACAGTGCCTATGTTCTGAGTTCAAGCTCCAGTACCAGCACAAAAACAAAAACCTGGGATGGATTTTGAGAGCGATGAAACAGTGGAGTTCTGGCCTCTTATTTTTGTGGTGCTGGAGATGGCCAGAGCCTTGGACTCGAAGCCACATCCTGAGCTTCAGGAATGGGGCTTAAGCAGGGCCTGAAGCAAGCTTTGAGCAAATCCTCACCAACCTCCTTCACCAGATCCAGTTCCCCTACCAGACCCAGCCCCCATCATTGAGTTAGGATGGGCAGGACAGGGTGTGGGTAAAGGGGCGGCTATGCCTCCCCGCTCAGCAGCTGCCTCAGGGTCAGAGGTCAGGTCCTTTTCTCTGTCATACAACTGCCCCACCTAAACTTCTGAGACAGCCCAGCACCAAGCCCAAGGCAGCCTACCCTCTGCCTAGAAAGAAAGGTTCAGCCTAGAGGCCATTGTCTGGAGAAGAAAAGGACTGGGAAGTGGGTGGGGACAGAGAGTGGGGGTGGTGCACAGCTTTGTTCAAACACTTCCCTGTGGAGTGGAGGCCCTTCCCCCATCTGAGAAAAACCTAAATCCAATCCTAAATCTCACCTCCTGCTCTTTTTCTTTGACTTGTGCCACTTTAAGGATCTCCTATGCTTATGCACCCAGCCTTTGGTATGAGGTCCTGGAGGATGTGTAGGAGTTCCCCAGGGGCTGAGGAAGGCATTCCTAACTGATCACACAGCCAAAGCAAAATCATGTTGTTGGGAGGTGCTTGGGCACCCTGGATAAAATGTAAAGCTGTATTTCTGGAACCTGGTAACAAAGTTGGCAAATTAGGGCCAATGACAAAGGCGGGAAAACTCAAGTTCATGGGAGCTAAGGAGTTGTCCCCGTCAGTTCTCCTGGCTTTCCGGAAAAGGCCATACCATGTCGTAAATTGCTAGTAGCTCATTCTTTGGGGGTAGGAAACTGACTCCTCTAAGTTGAGAAACATACGGTGGCCAGTCCCAATAGTCTCCCAAGCGCCCACGCCGGAGCCTAGACAGAAAGACTACAAGTCCCAGCAGGCCCCGCGTTGTGGCGCAGGCGCGACAAGAGTCTCTCAGCGAGCCCGGCCGAGCCCGGGGGCCCAGTCCTCCCCCATTGTCTGGTCGGCCCGAAAGGAGCGGGCTGCACGGAGGCGCCCTCATCTCATTGGTCAGGTGGCGCGTCCGTCGCGGCCCACGCCCACCCCCATGCAGGCCCCGCCCCACGCGCCCGCGTCCGGGCCGCCTGGCGCCCCGCCCGCGCCTCTGGACCGGCGGGGCCGCGCGGCGTATCCTGCGGGCGGCGGCGGCGGCGGCGGGCGCGGCGCCGGCAGCCGGGCGCAAGATGATGAAGTTTCGGTTCCGGCGGCAGGGCGCCGACCCGCAGCGCGAGAAGCTCAAACAGGAGCTTTTTGCCTTCAACAAGGTGTGGCAGGCGGCCCGGGCTGGGGCGGAGGGGGCGGGCCGGGGGCCCCGGCTGGGGGCCGGAGCCACGTCGGGCCGCCAGGGAGGGGGCTCCCGGCTGGGGCGTGGTGGGGGCCCGGGCAGAACCCCTTGGCGGGCTCGAACCGCGCGTGCTCCCCTGCTCGGTTCTCGGACTCCGGTGCGCCTGGGTCCTGCTGACTTTCCTGCCCGCCTTGGCGGCTCTCTGTGGGCCTCCGGGCCCCGGCCCTCGCCCTGTGCGTCCCTGGCCGTCCGCGTCCCTGCGTGTCTCGGTCGCGAGTGCCACTCTTCGCATCTCTCTGCGTCCCTGCCCCTCCCTCTCTGGCGCCTGCTCCTGTGCCGTGCGTGTGTGTGTGCGCGCGCGGGTGCGGGTGCGCGCGGGTGCGTGCTGGGTGAGGGTCTCTCTCCCCCTGCGTATCCCTTGTCCCTTTCCTTGTCTTGCTTTCTCTCTCTCATTTTTCTCTGTCTCAGGCTTTCCCGTCGCTCCCTACGTGGGTCTCCGTCTTTGTAGGGTTCATCGCCATCTCTATCTCTTAGTTTTTTTTTTTTTAATCCCTTTTCTTTGTGGCCCCTATTGGGGCTCTTGGAACACGGCCTAGGGCTGGGTTTTGTTTTGCTTTCGCACCCGGCCTACTAGAGAGGTGAGGGGTGGAGGCAGAAGCAGGGGGTGGGGTTGGGAACTCCCTCAGCGGAGCTTCCCCTCCCCCACGGCCCCAAGCTCTGCTTTGCCTTGTCTTGACTGGGGTCCTATTCTTGGGGTGGGGTGGGATGGGGAAAAGTGTGCTTGATTGAGTAGCCAGTTACACTTCAAACTGCTGTGCCTCAGTTTCCCCAGCCGTGAAATAGGGGCTACTTTCCTCCTTGTGGGTTCTGGCTCCCTATACCACATGGGCCAGCCAACCTGGTGTGAAGGATGGTGGTGGAAGACTGGTCTTCCTTTCCCAGGAGGGTCCCTACCTCCCCCTGCACTGTTGGGGGTAGAGTGGGGCCCCAAGCCTGCCCCTTGCTAACTTCTTCCTGGTGGTGGAGCTGGCCTTCAGTTTTACCCCACAGTCTTTCTGCCTGGTGTTTAGGATGAGATTTGTTACCTCCCTTACAAATGAGAGAAAACTGAAGTGCAGAGAGGTAGTGAGGACTTGTTCTGAGTCTTTCTGGAGTTGCTCCCTGGTGGAGTTAGGCCTTAGCCTAGAGTGGCAGGGAGCTTTGGAGGGGCTGCTGCCATCTCAGCAGATCCAGGGGCCCTGGGCTGCCCTGAGCATTATCGGGGAGGTTCTGGAATGTCTCAGGCAGGCAGTTTTTCCTGCGTAGGTAGTGGTGGGGCTGCCAGGAGCCTGACTTCTTGACCTAGAGGCCACCAGAAGTCTGAGGGGTTGCAGGGGTCCTCAGGAAGATGAGATACCTCCTCTGCTGGGGTGGCTGTGAAAGTTTGCCCCTGAGGAGAGAGGAGAATGATCCCTTCAGGAAGGCTGGAATGTGTCACTTCCTAAGCAGCGGATTGAGGTGTACAGTAGGGACCTATAGAGATTGGAGGTAAAACTGAAGTCAGTTCTGGATGCTGGTCTGAGGTGGTCATAGACTTTGGGTGTGTTCAAATCCCAGCCTGCCTACAAATTGCCTGTAGAATGTGCAGTTTTTGTCAACATAATAGGGAGCCCTTACTCCTTGGTGCTAGGGACACAGTGGAGACAAAAATGGATATGTGTGTCTTTCCACTCAGAGCGTTGATGTATTCAATGGGAAAACAGTGAAAATCCAAGATAAAAAAGGAAGTCTGAAGAAGTAGCTCATATGGTGGCCAGTGCTGTGGCTATCAGCAGGGTGAGGTGCCAGGTCTATATTATAGCAGTTGTTTCCTTCCTGAGTACTGAGTAGGAACCCTCCAGAGCCTGGAGCTGAGGGACAGTATCTGGAATTGAGGGAAGCACAGGGGCCTTGGGGCTTAAATCAGGTGAGCCTGGAGGTCTCAGGGTGAGCAATGCTGGCTTGGACTCTAGGTAAGCTGGGACCTGCTGGAAGGCCCAACTGACTGGTGTTGACAAACTCCTTCTGTCTTCTGTGTGGGGAGCATTAGTTCAGGCAGGTGGTGATGGGGTCTGGAGGAGGGTCTTACACTACCTAGAGTGACTTCTGTGTGTGTCTTGCAGCTGAGCTAATGGAGCTCAGGAATGGATTAGACTTGGGGATGTGAAGGATGAAGATGCTAGACAGCTTACCTAGCCTTATCTCTGCTGTCAAGTAGAGCCAAGTGGGGCCCTCTCCAGGTTGTGGGGATTTGCAGTATAATTGTTATCTATGCTCTATCTGCTGGACATTAGGCCAGAGCCTGAGACTTACTAGATATAGTCACGTCCATCAAGGGCATAGCAATGTTGGTGGTAAAGGGAAGCCCCCTAACTCCAACCCCACTCCTCAACTCTCAGGTGTCTCCCTGCCAGGGCCCAGTGGAAGCAAGCTAGAGAGTACTGTCATCAGCCCTGACCACACAGCTAGGCCCTGTCAAGGCAGCTCAAGTCCCCACCTGGATGGGCTAAGGGTAGCTGACAGGCTTAGGATGTTTTCCTGTTTTTGTTTTGAGACAGGATCTCCCTATGTGGTCCAAGCTGGCCTCAAATTGAGGTCCTTCCTCCTTAGCTTCCAGAGTACTAGGATTGATAGGTGTGTGCCACCACACCTGGTGTGAGGATAGGCAGTGGTTCCTTGTGTGTCCCACACTGGTATTCAGGGTGAGGCCCTTCCAGCCTTTGGTATGAGTGAGAGCTCTTCAGTAGGTAGGCAAATGGAGGGAAACAGCCAGGCCAAAGGAAGCCTGGTGGTTGGGGAAAGGGGGAGGAAGGCTGCACTAAGCTGAGACTTAGCCCTGTAGGGAGTAGAGAGCTAGGAAGCAGCAATGCCCCACTGGCATTAGTCCTCCCCCCTGGTAATAGACTGAGATTCTTGTCTGGCTGTTCCCAAGTGAGATGACCCCTTTAAGGGCCAGGCAGGAAGTGACCTGTCTTTGCACCTTAGTTTCCCTATAGCTAAATGGATGTCAAGATTTGCACTGCCTAGGTAGGCCTGGGTGCTGACTTTGATCTCTGACCTTCATAGGGGAATTTAGTTAGTGTGGCTCCTCACCATAGTTTAATCTGTGTATGTAGGACCTAAGGGACAGGGATCCTCTTCAATGCCTGTACCTTTGAGCCTGTTTTCTGTTCATTGCTAGACTTTGTGCCTTGTGGGGTGATAGGGGCTCTGAGGAGAATGGGGCTTGGCAAGTGGAGAGCTTCTGGGCTGCACATATAGTCATAGTGGAGCCCAGGACTCAACTACCTCTCTACAGACTGAGGCACAGTCACCCATTTCACAGTTGAAGACACTGAGGCATGGAGAGTGAGTAGGTGGGACAGCAGTGTCTGGGTGTATGTGTCTCAAGCAGCCCTTCCTTCTTCCACAGACGGTGGAGCATGGATTCCCCAACCAGCCTAGCGCCCTGGCCTTTGACCCTGAACTTCGAATCATGGCTATTGGCACCAGATCTGGGGCTGTCAAGATGTATCCTTTGCAGTTGTGATGTTTGGGGGGTTTAGGACTACCTGTATGTGGTTTCCTGTTTGCTGGGGTCTGGCCTTGTCAGATACTCTGTAAAGACTACAGTGCATGCTGGAGTCTCTAAGGAGGTAGGCCCTGTGTGTCTAACAAGCCTAGGACAATTCCTCTTGGAGATGATGGGGTCTTTTTGCTGGGAGATGGGTGATGGAGGGTTAGTTTGCAATGGCCACAGCTGTCCCTTAATTTTTTGGGGCCAGCCAGTTTCCTAGGTGACACTGCCATCATCCCAGCAACTGGGCCAGGGCACTGGGCCAAGACAACCATTGAGGGGACGGGTAGACTGGGGGCCTTGGTGAGTGGGTGCACTCACACGTGTGTGTGCAAATGTGGAGACATGTGTGTTCAGCATAGGGGATGGGGCAGTGCCAGGCTCAGCATGGTGAGCACAGCACGGCCCCCACCTAGCCTCTGGTGCTGTACAATGGGCTGTGTGAGCTGTACAAAGCAGGCATTTTCCTCCAGGCCAGGGTTGGGGGGGGGGAAGCTGGGCTAGCAGGCAGCTGAATGCATACTTACCCACCCTGGGAATCCCAGCCCAAATGCTCTCCGGGAAACTGAGGTGCTGAGTCTAGTTGGCAGCTACATGGTGAAGATGACCATCCTTCACTTGTCCTTTTGTGGTGCTCTGGGTCTCAGTTCTCTGGTTGGCAGGAAATAACTCAGCTCCTGGAAGGGGAGGATTGCAGGGTGGAATCTCCTCGCCCTGGCACTGGGGGCACTGATCTGGAAGGGCCAGTGGTTTGTGAGCTTCTTGTCTCTAGGGAGCATGGCTGAGCTGGAATGTCCCCTCTTCCAGGGGTCTTGAGGCACTGATGAGAGCGAATGGGGCAGTGCCCCTGGCCCCATATCCTGCCTACTGCTCCCACCCTGGGGCACTGTGCCACCTCCACAGGTATAGCCCTTCAGCTTTTCTCCATGACACAGAGATCTGTGTCTCCGTGTCTGCAAGGGCTTTGCTGTTAGCCACTCTGAGCAGCCCTGCCTGTGGAGGGTCCTTGCACTCTTCATGCTCACAGAGGAACAAATAAGGACACAGCTTTAGAGAAGAGCTGAGGAACGGGACCTTGCTTTTCTTTCTTTAAATTCTCACAGCCTGGAGTCCCTGGAGTTGGGAAACTGAGGCTGGAGAAGGCCAGCCTTAGTCTTAAAAGATACCCTTGCTGGGCACCAGTGTCTCACACCTGTAATCCTTAGTTATGAAGGAGGCTGAGATCTGAGGATTGCAGTTTGAAGCCAGCCCAGGCAGGAAAGTCCATGAGACTCTTCAGTAAACTCATGAACCTGGAAGTAGAGCTGTAGTTCAAGTGGTAGAGCACTATCTTTTTGAGCACAAAAACTCAGGGACAGGGGCTAGGAAGGTGGCTCAGTGGTAGAGTGCTTGCCGCACGTGCTTGAGGCCCTGGGTTTATTTCTCAGCACCACATAAACAGGAAAGCCGGAAGTGGTGCTGTGGTTCAAGTGGTAGAGCGCTAGCCTTGAGCCAAATTGCTGAGGGACAGCACTCAGGCCCAGAGTTCAAGCCCCATGACCGACAAAACAAAAAAACTCAGGACAGCACTCAGGCCCTGAGTTTGATTCCCCAGGATTGGCACATATACGCACGCGCGTGCACACACACACATATACACACACACACACACCCGTGAGGCTGGCCTCATCTCCTTGGCAACCCTGCTTCCCGCCCAGCTCCTCCTGCCTCTTCTTTTGTCCCCTCCTCTCTCCCTGCCAGGCTCCTGCAGGGAGTCCTAGCTTAAGCTCCAGGCAAACAGCTCCTGCCTTGTCACTGGGGCAACAGACATTGCTGACCCTTCCCTCAACTCCTCTGGTCCCTCGGGCCTTGCCAACCACCATCAACCCTGGAGTTGTGGACTCTGGGCTCTGGCACTCATACCCTCTCCTGTTCCATATGTGCTAAGATGGACAGTGGGGGAGCATAGCAGTGGAGGAGCATAGCTAGGGCCAGAGCTATGGTAATTTTTATTTTAATTTTTTCCCATGTCAGTAATTGAGCTTGAGGCCTGGAAACTATCTGTCCCTTAGCTATTTCATTCAAGGCTGATGTTCTACCACTTAAGACCCACCTCCACTTTTGGCTTTTTGGGGGGTTAGAGATAAGAGTGTCATGGGCTGGGAATGTGGCTTAGTGGTAGAGTGTTTGCCTAGCATGAATGAAGCTCCGGGTTCCATCCCTCCGTACCACATACACAGAAAAAGCAGGACGTGGCACTGTGGCTAAAGTGGTAGAGTGCTAGCCTTGAGCAAAAGAAGCTCAGGGATGGTGCCCAGACTTTTCCTGAGTTCAAGCCCCAGAACTGGCAAAAAAAAAAAAAAAGAAGAAGTGTCATGAGTTCAAGACCCTTGATGGACAAAATCTCTTCACTATAGCTGGTTGCTGGTGGCTCATATCTGTAATTCTAGCTACTCAGGAGGCTGAGATCTGAGGATTGTAGTTCAAAGCCACCTTGGGCAGGAAAGTCCATGAGACTATTTTTCTCCAGTTAACCACCAGAACACTGGAAATGGTACTGTAGCTCAAAGTGGCAGAGGGCCAGCCTGAGCAAAAGAGCTCAGGGACAGTGCCCAGGCCCCAAGTTCAAGCCCCATAAACAACAACAACAAAAGTGTCATGGACTTTCCAGGCTAGCTTTGACCCTCGATCCCTAGATGTCACCCTCCTGAGTTGTTAGGATTATAGGATGAGCCACTGGTGCTCAGGTGTTTTTTGGTTTGGTTTGGTTTTGGTTTTGGTTATTGGTGGTGGTTGTGGGGATTGACCACTGGACCTCAGCTCTTCAGTTCAAGGCTAGCACTCATCTCTTGAGCCTCTGCACCACTTCTCGTTTTCTGGTGGTTAATTGGAGATAAGAGTCTCACAGACTTCCTGCCCAGGCTGGCTTTGAACCATAATCCTCAGTTCTCAGCCTCCTAAGTAGCTAGGATTACAGGCGTGAGCCATTGACTCCCAGCTCCAGGTATGTTTTGATTTTGTATGTGTGTGTCTTTCCAGAGCTCAAACTTAGGGCCTGGATACTATCCCTGAGCATTTTTTCTGGCACTCTGCCACTTGAGCTAGACTTCCATTTCTTGATTTTTAGTGGTTAGTTGGAACTAAGATAACAGACTTTACTGCTGGCTTCAAATTCTGATCCTCAGATCCCAGCCTCCTGAGTAGCTAGGATTACAGGTGTGAACCACCAGCTGCTGGCTCTTAGCTCATCTGACTTAGCTGTACAAGTGGGAATCATTAGCATATTTTACAAATGAGCACTTGAAAGCCTTGTAGCAGTGCTAGACTCACAGGAGCTACAGGGCTGTGTGGAACCTAAAACTAAAACCGAATGTGCTTTAGGAGTGTAGGATGAGGTTATTTGGGGAGAGATCCTCATTGTAGCTTGGGGGGGGTCCCTTAGATGGGCAGTGCCCATGGGAATGGTCCTGGGGAAGTGGTGGGCCTGTGTAACTCCCTTGTGGCAGTTTCCTGTCCTGTCCTTCATGGTTCTGTCCTTGATCAGTTACCCTCAGTTACGGAGCACCTGGTGTGGAGTTCACAGGCCTGCACCGAGACACAGCCACTGTCACCCAGATGCACTTCCTATATGGCCGGGTGAGCTCTGGTCCCTACCTGCCAGTTCCCGTGGTTCCCCATATCCATCCACCCCTCCTGGCTAGCTGTTTTGCTCTCTGCTCATCTACTAGGGCCGCCTCCTGACCTTGCTGGATGACAACAGCCTGCATCTTTGGGAGATCATCCACCATAATGGCTGTGCCCACTTAGAGGAAGCCCTCAGCTTCCAGCCACCCAGCCGGCCCAGCTTTGACAGTGCCAGGTATTGGACCATTTGACAGGGCCCAGCCACTGGGCAGGAGGGATAGGGAACGCTGTGCTAACTGGCTGTGTGGAGGAGTTGCATAAGCAGGACACAGCCTGGCCTCTGCTTGGCCAAGGTATGCTCTGAACTTTTTGGGTCTGCTGTGAGGTTCTGACTAAGTCAGGTCTGTGATACTGACTGCAGGAGCCTTTAGTTTTGGGAGTCCTAGGAAGGTATATGCCAAACTCCCTGGACCTGCAGCCTGGTGCTGTGATCCCTGTAGTGATGGGCTTGTTTGTGGGCTTGGGAAAGGGTTTAATCCAAGCTAAGGTAGGGAATGGGCCATTGTGTGTCCAGGTGAATGGACAAGTTTGAGCAAGGAGTATCCTCTTGGATAGATTTGGTGCTGGCAAGATAGCCCAGATGCATGGAGTGTGCTTGGCCTCCAGGTGAGAATACAGTCTCTTTTCCCAGCCCTGCTGGAAATGGCTGGAATGGGGAAGTTCTTATCCAGGAGCATGTTCCTGGGCAATCTCAGCCTCTGCCTGCAGGGACCGTCTGAGTCCTCTGGTAGTCATGAAGTGTCTAGAAGACTGGTGGCAGAAGGCTTAGGGAGGCTTCATCTGTCATGGTTCTGGGTGAGGCGATGTCCTGATTCCTTCATGGTGGTGAGAGAAGCCAGTCCATCTCCAAGACCTGGGGAACCTATTTTTATCCTTCTTCCTGCCAACAACCTGATGAATAATTGAGCAGGCTAATTACACTGCATCATCACCCTCCTGGGGTGCCTGCCTGCACTGTAAGTAGGCCCTGTGAGTGCAGAGGGGCAGGAATGAGCTGGCAATAAGGGATCAACCCCTCCCTCCAAAGCAGGGAGATGGACTACCTTGTCCCTTCCTCTTGTCCCCTGTAGTACCCCAGCCAGCCTCACTCGTATCACAGTGGTCCTGCTGGTGGCTGATGGTGACACAGCAGTTCTGGGAACTGAGGGTGGCAGCATCTTCTTTCTGGATGTCACCACCCTAACACTATTCGAAGGGCAAGCCCTCCACCCAGATGAGGTTCTGCGCAGGTAAGTGGCAGGTGGGAAGAATTCCCCGTGTCTAGGAAGTTCTCTTGACTCACTGGAGCCCGCTTTGCAGTGTGCCAGAGGACTACCGATGCGGAAAGGCTCTGGGCCCTGTGGAGTCGCTCCAGCGACACCTGCAAGACCCCAACAAGATCCTCATTGGCTACAGCCGGGGGCTTCTGGTCATCTGGAACCAGACTACGCGGTGTGTGGATCATGTCTTCCTGGGAAACCAGGTCAGTGGGTGAGGCCTGTGCCCCTCAACTTGGGCCCCTGCACATACTTGCTAACTCATCCTCTTGCCCTGTCCACAGCAGCTGGAGAGCCTGTGTTGGGGGCGTGGTGGTGGCACCATCATCAGCTCACACAGTGATGGCAGCTATGCCATCTGGTCCACAGAGACTGGCAGCCCCTCGACACTGCAGCCCACAGTGGCCACTACACCCTATGGTGAGTACTAGGGAGGCCTGAACCTGAAAATAAATGACAGAGGGCTGCCTGGCCCCAATGGGGACACTGCCCAGCCAAATACGCAAAGGGAAACCCTGGGGGTAGCATGGCTGGGCAGTAAGGCTTTCCCCTTGTGGAGAGACAGGAGATAGCTGGGAGGTAGACTAGGAATAGAAGGTCTGATGCTGCCCCCTCCACCCCAGGCCCCTTTCCCTGTAAGGCCATCAACAAGATTCTGTGGCTGAACTGTGAATCTGGGTAAGTTGAGGGAGTGGTAGAGTTGGGGGCTGGAAGGGTAGACTGGGCACTTGGTGGTGAAGCCTTTGCTGGGTATGCATTTTGCACCCTCAGAGCACCTGGCTCACATGACCTCCTTTGTAGGGGCCACTTTATCATCTTCAGTGGTGGCATGCCCCGTGCCAGCTATGGTGACCGCCACTGTGTGAGTGTGATGCGAGCTGAGACATTGGTGACACTGGACTTCACCTCCCGCATCATTGACTTCTTTACAGTTCACAACACTCGGCCTGACGATGGTGTGTGTCCTGTCCCTCCCACTTTAACCCCAGTCTGCTGTGTGAGGCCTGTGGCCAAGCTCACCCATTCTGTTCCACAGAATTCGATGATCCCCAGGCCCTGGCTGTGTTGCTGGAGGAGGAGTTGGTGGTGCTGGACCTGCAGACTCCTGGCTGGCCAGCTGTGCCGGCTCCCTACCTGGCCCCACTGCACTCCTCTGCCATTACCTGCTCTGCCCATGTGGCCAATGTTCCCAGCAAGCTGTGGGCCCGCATTGTGAGCGCTGGTGAGCAGCAGAGCCCCCAGTCTACCTCTAGTGCCTCGGTGAGTGTGGATGTCCTGCAGCGATGTGGGAGGGAGTGTGTTGCTGGTGGTTGCGGCGCACTTGTTGTGGGTGCAGGTAGGGGAGCTCTGAGCGCCATGCCCTGGGTGAAGGGAGACCTGACTTGGAGCTCACATTGCTGTTGTTCTTTCGTAGAGCTGGCCCATTACTGGGGGCAGGAACCTGGCCCTGGAGCCAGCACAGCGAGGACTGCTACTGACAGGGTAAGTGTTAGGGAAGCAAGTGAGGCCCCATACCCACTAGGCCTGGTGTATTCCTGTCATCCCTGAGCCCTGCGGGTGCTGACATATCAGGTGACTCAGACCTGGCACCTGGCAGGTTCAGATTGTCCCCCTTACTCAAGGAGGACTGTATGAAGCCTCCCTAGATCCTAGTTCAAAGCCCCACCCTGGTCTGCCTCATAGAACTGAGCTTCAGCAAACCCCAGGGCTCCACCTACCTGGCCTGCCTGCCTGCTACTGGAAAATCTGGGCTGGCCCACGCCAATTGCCCAAGGCAGGTGCTGGAGAACCCAGCCTGTTGAGTGCTGACGTGCCTGGTGACTCAGGCCCTACTTCCTGCCCTGCCCCTCCCTCTTGTCTGTGCTGGGACCTTACAGCCCTCTCCTGTTGGGAACTTGCTCTGGGTTTCTCACTCAACAGGCGTGAGTCCCACCCAGCCCCCACTCTTGCATCTTCCCATATCTTGGCTCTGGATTCCCCCATACTGTCCAAGGTTGCCACTTTTGCTCTACAGCTATATGCTGAAGCTGTGCCCTAGATTCGTCTGCTCTTTCCTCCCTTCCTGTCCCCATTTCCTCCTCCCTGCTGCTCTTCCTTCATGGCCACCTGAGGCTGTAACTGGTTCTTCCTGGGATTCCTGGCACCAGTCCTAATTGCTAGGTGGCTTATATGGGGCAGAATCTCCTAGTCCTATTCCTTATGTTTCTGCCTCTGCCATCTCCTGGCTGTCAAAGTGGTCATTTCCACATCATCCAACCCTTTTGAAAGGCTTAGGTATGTATTAGGAATGTAGCCTGGCATACTGTAAGCCCTGTTTGACTTACATAGGAGGTGCTTGGTGTATTCAGTAGGATTCTGGCCAGTGTTGGGCATGTTCAGTAATGCTCAGAATGGCTGCAGGAAGAGTAGATGAAGGGGTGTGCAAGCCTTCCAGGGTGACCCTGCTATCTGCCATTCCTTGCAGCCATGAGGATGGCACCGTGCGGTTCTGGGATGCTTCTGGTGTGGCACTGCGGCCACTGTACAAACTGAGCACGGCTGGCCTTTTCCAGACAGACTGTGAACATGCTGACAGCCTGGCCCAGGCTGCTGAGGATGACTGGCCACCCTTCCGCAAGGTATACCTCTTCCCTTGGCCTTGAGGAGCTGCTCCTGGCTGTATTTGGTGTCCTCACTTCTTCCTATCCCCTCAGGTGGGCTGCTTTGACCCCTACAGTGATGATCCCCGGCTTGGTGTACAGAAGGTTGCACTCTGCAAGTACACAGCCCAGATGGTGGTAGCTGGCACTGCAGGCCAGGTAAGGTTGGGAGTCCTCTCGGTAGGGGTGTCAGGGAGGACTTGTCTGTTGGTAGGTCTGAAATGGTGGGTCTGGTGAATGGGTGAAGAACTATTGTGGTCAGAAGAACCATTGTGGTCAGAGGCCCAGAGATGGGAATGGGGGTCCCGGTGGGGCTGATTAAGTCAGACAAATAGGAAGTGGTCTGTAGTGCAACAGTCAGATGAGATCTGGTAGAGTAGGGACCACTTAGTCTCTGTCCCTGCTCTGCCTCTGGCACTTTACAAAATACAGAAAGGCTTGGTGTATGTTCATTGCTAATGGGGAGACAATGGCTTAGGTAAGAGTTCTTTGCTGTAGACCCAGTGGGTTCTAGTCACTACTATATTCTTTGGTGCTCACTGAGGGCCTTGATTTACAGTCAGCATTCAAAAAGTGCTTATTAGTTGGGCGCTGATGGCTTATACCTATAATCCTAGCTACTCAGGAGGCTGAGATCTGAGGATCACAGTTCAAATCAGCCTGGGCAGGAAAATCTGTGACTCTTATCTTCAATAAACACCAGAAAACTGGAAGTGACACTGTGGCTCAAGTGGTAGAGTACTAGCCTTGAGCTGAAGAGCTCAGAGACAGCACCCAGGCCCAGAATTGAAGCCCCACAACTGACAAAAAAAAAAAGTGCTAATTAGCAGGGTGCTAGTGGCTCCTGTCTATAGTGCTATACTCAGGAGTCTGAGATCTGAGGATCGTGGTTTGAAGCCAACCTGGACAGTAAAGTTTGTGAGACTCCTATTCCAAAAAACTACTCAGAAAATGCCATAACTGGCACTGTGGCTCAAATGATAGAGTGCTAGCCTTGAGCAAAAGAAGCTCAGGAACAGTGCCCAGGCCCTGAGTTCAAGCCCTAGGACCAGCACTTTAAAAAAAAAATACGGGCTGGGAACGTGGCTCAGTGGTAGAGCGCTTGCCTTGCATGCCTGAGGCCCTGGGTTCGATTCCTCAGCACCACATAACCAAAAAGAAAAAAGCCGGAAGTGGCGCTGTGGCTCAAGTTGTAGAGCGCTAGCCTTGAGCTGAAGAGCTGAGGGACAGCGCCCAGGCCCAGAGTTCAGGCCCCACGACCGGACCAAAAAAAAAAACAAAAAATAGCACTTGACTAGAAGAAAAGTAATCCGGACATTTATTTGTTTATTTATTTATTTTTTGCCAGTCCTGGGGCTTTTGGGCCTGGGCACTCTCCCTGAGCTTCTTTTGCTCAAGGCTAGCATTCTACCACTTGCGCCACAGCTTCACTTCGAGCTTTTTGTGTTTATGTGGCACTGAGGAATCGAACCCAGGGCTTCACGCATGCTAAGCGAGCACTCTACCAATAAGTCACATTCCCAGTCCCTGGACTTTATTTATTGGTTTGTTTGTTTATTTATTGCCAGTCGTGGGGCTTGAACTCAGGGACCAGGCACTGTTCTAAGTTTCTTCTACTCAAGGTTAGTGCTCTACCACTTGAGCCACAGTGCCACTTCCAGCTTTTTCTGTGTATGTGGTACTGAGGAATGGAACCTAGGGCTTCATACATGCTAGGTGAGCAGTCTACCACTGAGCCACCTTCCCAGCCCTGGACTTTTATTTTTATGTGGAAAAATTACAAAGACTTTGGCCAACTAAGTCTACTCACAAAGAAAAATTCAGTTTGCCTTCTCCTTTGTGGACCACTATGTGAAAATGCTGTGTGTTGGATCACTGAAGGTCAGACAATAAAATACATTAGCTTTAAAAAAAAAAAGTGCCTATTGGTGGATGGAAGGTGGTGCTAGGACCAGCGTGGCGGTGGGCGGGGCCGTGGCATCCCTCCTCTGTGCTGACCTCTTACCCAACTGTGGCCTAGGTGCTGATCCTGGAGCTCAGTGACGTGCCAGCAGAGCAGGCTGTCAGTGTGTCCAATGTGGACCTCCTCCAGGACCGTGAAGGCTTCACATGGAAGGGCCACGAGCGGCTGAGCCCACGCACAGGGCCTCTGCCTTGGCCTGCTGGCTTCCAGCCCCAAGTGCTAGTACAGTGTCTGCCACCAGCTGCTGTCACTGCTGTCACCCTCCATGCTGAATGGAGCCTTGTGGCCTTTGGCACCAGTCATGGCTTTGGCCTCTTCGACTATCAGCGGAAAAGCCCAGTGCTGGCCAGGTACGTAGAACAGGGTGATGGGCAGCTGAAGCCTTTGCAAGGAGGGGTCTGAGCTTCAGTTTCCCATTCTAAAGTTTGGTGTGACAAAGGCAAACTGACTATAAAAGCCCCATAATCTCTGTACTCTGTAAAAAATAAGCTGACAACTACCTAAGGATTGAGCTTAGCATTGCCAGCTGTTAAGGTCATAGGGTAGTGCGGAGAGAGTGGCTCTGGCTCCTTGACCTGGGCTTTGCACTGTCAGCTTTGGGCTAGCAAAGCTGTGGTCTAGGCTTCAAAGCACAACTAGTTCCTGCCCACTCTCAGGTGTACCCTTCACCCTAATGACTCCCTGGCTATGGAGGGGCCTCTGTCTCGGGTGAAGTCCCTCAAGAAGTCACTTCGCCAGTCTTTCCGTCGCATCCGCAAGAGCCGTGTCTCAGGGAAGAAACGGGCTGCTAATGCCAACAGCAAGGTGAGCTTCCTTGGCATTTGAGCCCTGCCATGCTTCCTTTTGTGTGTGTGCGCATGTGTGTGCATGCTTACATTTGCACAGATATTCCATATAGTCCCATGCAGTTCTCCATTCTCACAGTGGGCTCAGTCCACCCTGGACATGCTGATGGTGGGAATATGAAGCCCCGCTCCTGATTCTGCCCACATGCATGTACCAGGGAAGCCCCTGAGCAAACATGTAGGGGCCATTAATAGAATGTGGCGGGGGGGCCGGGGCTGGGGGTTTAGCCCAGCAGAAGTGCGCCCACCTGGTGTGCACGCGCAGGCCCTGGGTTCGGTCCTCAGCCCTGGGGAAAAGAAAAAGAATGTGGGGGAGTGATATGCTTCCCTCTTAAACACCAGGATGAGTCTGTGCAGGATGAGCTAGGGGGTAAAGGGGGTGGATAGTAGTGAGTATTGGGTGTCAGGCATCATGGGTACAACTTGGCTCAGGAGAGCACATTCAAAGCCAGTTACAGTTGTAATCCTCCAGTTACAGGAGGCCAATGCACAGCTGGCAGAGCAGGCATGCCCCCATGATGTGGAGATGACACCTGTGCAGCGCCGCATCGAGCCTCGCTCTGCTGACGACTCCCTCTCTGGTGTTGTGCGCTGTCTCTACTTTGCTGACACGTTCCTTCGAGATGGTGAGGCCAGGGAAGGAGCAGGGCTGAGATCTGAGGATCAAGGCTCATACATAGCCAGCTTGGGCAGAACAATCCAATTGAGACTCTTTATTTCCAATTAACCTCCAAAAAGCAAGAAGTGGAGGTGTGGCTCAAGTGGCAGAGTGCCGGCTTTGGGTGGAAAAGGCCAAGTAAGAGCACCAGGGCCCGGTAATGGCACTGGGCGGAGGATGGGGAGATTGGGCTTGGTTGGCCATGTGAGAAATGAGATGGCCACTTTGGTGAGGAGGTGGCAGGATTGTGCCTTTTGGAGGTTTGAAAGTGTTAGAAGCACTGTGTGCTGAGCCGCACCAACAGGGATGTTCTGGCCACTCATCTATCCCCTCACTAGGACAGATGGGGAGGGATTGCTGACCTAGCTGGGACAGGCCGCGAAGGCTTGAGCAGGAAGATAAACCCAGGGCCAGGATGAGGAATGAGTCAGGCAGAGGAAGAAGTTGGTGCTAGGTGCTATGCTGAGGATCAAGATTTGACTTTGGGTGACTTGGGAACCCTGGGTTTTGTCTTTATTTTTCTTCCCCTAGTACTGTAGAACACAGGTCCATTTGGCCCCATTCTCAACCATTTTTGCGCTTATTTTTCTTGTTATTTTTCAAATGTGGTTTGATTTTTTTCCCCAGGGCAGCTTGCACTATGATTTTCTTATTTATGCTTCCTGTATAGTAGTTAGGATGATAGGTGGATGGTAGGTGTGCACCATCACAGGTAGCTTTTTGTTAAGATCGGATCTTGTGAGCTTTTTGCTTGGGCTAGCCTCAAACCCTGATCCTTTAGATCTCAGCAGCCTAAGAAATTGCTTTTTACCTTGTATACTTGTTGGTTATATATTGGTATATATTGGTCACCCTGAGTGTCTGCTATTGTTTTGTGCCCACCTCACACTTTTTTTTTTTTTTTTTGTGGTCGTGGAGCTTGAACTCTGGGCCTGAGCGCTGTCCCTCAGCTCTTCAGTTCAAGGCGAGCACTCTACCTCTTGAGCTACAATGCCACTTCCGGTTTTTTGGTGGTTTATTGGAGATAAGAGTTTCACAGACTTTCCTGCCCAGGCTGATTTGAACCACAATCCTCATATCTCAGCCTCCTGAGTAGCTAGGATTACAGGTGTGAGCCACCAGAGCCTGGCCCACCTCACACTTTGATGGAACATTTTAAGCAAAAAAACTCAGGCACAAGTATCTTGGCAAGTGTCTGACACGTCTCAGCAGCCATGATGTCGGTTCCCAAGAGCAGAGGCTAAGCTCACACTCAGTCTACAGCCCTTCTTGATGTCGTTTTGCTACTAAGGGTTTTAGTCGAGTGTTATTTCCCCACTGTCTGATTGTGATGGGCTACCTCAGCAATGTTATGTTTAAATCACTTTGTAGCTTTTCATCTGGGGCTGGGCTTTCAGTGGCTTTGCTCCGGGGCATAAGCTACCAAGCATGTGGAGTGGTGAATGTCACCCACCCTCCCCCTTGCTCAGCTTATTCTCCAGTAAAGATTGTGCCCCAGAGGCTTGGCTCACACCACAGCAGGGTAGATAGGTTCATCCTGCCCAGGGCTGAGGTTTTCTGTGTTGTAGCACTGGGGACATGCTACACAGAGGGGGACACCCAAGGGTGAGAGATGATTCCTAATGTGTCCCAGGACTAGAGATAGGATGTCAGGAGATGAGTCTGCATGAGGGGTTTGGTTTTAATGAGAGGAAGGAGGGAGCTGCTTTTGCTGAGATGGGGATCAAGGTGTAGCAGGGTAGGTTGGTGAGATCGGAGTCTTTTTAGCCCGGCATCCCTGTGTAGATGACCTCGGAATGGCTTTTGTGCCTCTGCAGGTTTGCATCTAGGACTGTGACTGAGTCAGCAGCATAGAGCTGGTGTTTCTTGCCAGTGTGGCAAGGTCACCAGGGAAGTGCGGGACAGGAGGGAACCTGCTTGAGTTTTGGATACCAGAGTTAGGAAGTTGAGGTGTGGGAAACGATCTCCATGATCTCACTGCTCATGTCCTCCACAGCGACCCACCATGGGCCTACCATGTGGGCAGGCACCAATTCGGGCTCTGTGTTTGCCTACGCACTAGAGGTGCCAGCAGTCACAGCGGGAGGTGAAAAGAGGCCTGAGCAGGCAGTGGAGGCTGTGCTAGGCAAGGAGGTGCAGCTGATGCACCGGGCTCCTGTGGTGGCCATTGCTGTATTGGATGGGCGTGGCCGCCCACTGCCTGAACCCTACGAAGCCTCCAGGGACCTGGCACAGGCTCCTGACATGCAAGGTGGACATGCTGTACTCATCGCGTCTGAGGAGCAGTTCAAGGTGTGCTTGTGGTGGGCTGAGGAGACCCCCCCCTCCAGACTTGGACCTCTGAACTCCCCACTTGCTGAGACCTTCCATTTTCCTCCTACCTCATCAGCTTGTCCCTAGCTAGCAGACCTTGAAGAACCCTAATGCTCCTGAGTCTACCAAGTTCCCCAAGACCCTCCAACTTCACCGTTCCCCACAGGGCCCTGCAGAGATTAGTCTCCCACACAGAGGAGCTTTAGGACCCTATCGTTGATCTGGCCACTGGTGGAGATCAGGGGGGTTTCTGGGTGTGGTTAAGCCTGGGCTGAGTTTGCAGGAGGGGATGGCAGGTTAAAGCAGGTGGTGGTGTGGTCCAGGGTACATTTGGCCTGAGGGGCAAACTGGGTATCTGCAGCTGCAACAGCAAGGGGTCTTGACCATTGTTCATCTACCACCAGGTGTTCACACTGCCCAAGGTGAGCGCGAAGACCAAGTTCAAGCTGACTGCTCATGAAGGTTGTCGTGTGCGGAAGGTTGCCCTGGCCACCTTTACCAGTGTTGCATGTGAGGACTATGCTGAGACCTGTCTGGCTTGTCTCACCAATCTGGGTGATGTTCACGTGTTCTCAGTGCCGGGCTTGCGGCCTCAGGTGCACTACTCCTGCATCCGGAAGGAAGACATCAGTGGCATCGCGTCCTGTGTCTTCACACGCCATGGACAGGGTAAGTGGGGCATGTGGCAAGGTGGAGCAGGAGCACTGGAGAGGAGCCAGTGAGGAATAGGGCTAGTCAGGTGTCCCTGCACTCTTTGATCCTCCTCTCTCACCCACAGGCTTTTACTTGATTTCCCCATCAGAATTTGAGCGCTTCTCCCTAAGTGCCCGCAACATCACAGAGCCACTCTGCGACCTGAACATCAGCTGGTCCCATTATGCAAGGCGAACTAGGTGTGTGGGAGGGGTCTGTCATCAGGGTTAGATGTCACCCTGGCCCTTGGTTTGGGGGAAGTGAGGATGGGTGTGTAGTATCTGCTGTGGTCTCCACTGTAGCCCCATCTCTGCAATCACAGGCTCCAAGAGTCGCCCAAGCTCAGCCAGGCTAATGGGACCCCGAGCATCATCCTAGCCCCACAGAGCCGCGATGGAAGCCCTGATCCAGCTTACAGCAAGGGAGCTGGTAGGAAATAACAGGGTTGGGGCAGACTGGGGCAAGAATGTCGTGGGCGGGTGAGGTTTCACAGCTCAGGTGCAGGGCAGGCCCCTTGGAGGCACCATTGAGCCAGGACTGGAAGCTTGCAGGAGAGGAGGAAGTTCAGGGCCACTTGTCAGTACTATATCTCACCTGGCTATGTGTCCTCAGGTCCAAAGGGGTGTTAAGGGGGCCTAGCAGGGTCTGAGCACTTCCTCTCTGCAGATACCCCTGAGCTGCCAGAAGCCACACTGTCACCCATGTCCATTGACTCGGCCACTAGCGGTGACACCACACTGGACACGACAGGGGACGTCACAGTGGAGGACGTGAAGGATTTCTTGGGGTGAGACTACTTGTCCTCTTGTTCCATTTTCCCTTCTTGGAGCTGCCAGAGGCTTCCCTAGCCTGACCCTTCTGATTACTCACTCAGCTCTTCCGAGGAATCGGAGAAGAACCTGAGGAATCTAGCAGAAGATGAGGCCCGGGCCTGCACCATCCTGATCAAATGAGGTGCAGCAGGGGTGAGACCCTGGCTCCCTTTCCTACCACTCAGCTGGCGCTACCCGTCACACTCCATGTGGGGCCCCAGGACCTCCACCACTCCTGGGCTTGCCCATTCCTGGTAGGCCCTGCAGTGGTGTTGCTTGCTAGGGGTGGCCCATGCTTACAGGTCCTGGGCGTGGAATAGGACCAGTTCTGAATGCGTAGAGGTGCAGGGACTTGGTCTGTCTGCTATTCCATTTCACAGGAGAGGATCTGAGGCACCCAATTAAGCCCAGTATAGTTTGGTCCCAGGCTCATCTGGCCCTACCCAAGTCCTTGCATGGACCTAGTCTAACATCTTGAGCCTATAGAAATGACTGACCCAGTTGCTTCCTAGTGCCCCTGTACTGGGCCACCACTGCCCTTCTCTGGCCTTGCAGGTCTGTGTAGCCAGCACTTGAGACACCTGTTGGGGGCAGGAGTGTCTGCTCCTGAGCCTCTCACCCTCTGCTAACTCACTCTTCTCTCCCCCATCAGGAAGACCACTGTCTCCCCTGCCTGGCCTTTTAACATAGCCCTTACCTGCTAACATGTAGGATCCAGTGGGACCTGCTGTCCTGTCCCTGCCAATGCTGGGTCCTAGAGCCACCCCAGCTCAGGATGAGGGCATGGGGTTGTGCCCAAGCCTCCTGGCTGAGGCTGTCTGAATCCTACAGGCAGGTGGCTGCCCTGTGGAGAGGACAGGTGGGGCTGGACAGTCAGGCCTCTCTCCATTTATTTGCAAAGAGTATTTTTCTAGTGTCTCAGTTGGGCTGGATTGGCCGTCATTTCTAAAACTATTTTTGGTACTTGTTCCTGGGCCAGTCCAGTCCAGTGTGTGTGTATGTGTGTGTGAGTGACTGGAAGCTCTGCTGGGCACCACTGCTGGAGCCAGTCACTGTGTGTCTGGGTGTGTGTGTCAGGATGGACTTCCCTGTAGATTGTACCTTGGGGGCTTTTTTGTCTTTTTTTTTAATTAGCATTTTAATATTAAAAATAACTGATTTTTAATATTGAAAATAAAAGCCTTTAATATCTTAGAGCACAACTACATCTGATTTATCCCTAGCAAGAGATGGGGGGACTCACAGGTGTGCACACTATGTGGGGGTCTGATTTCCAGATTACCACCCCCCTCCCCCCAATGCAGCTATCTATCAGAGTTGCCTTCATTGGTGCTGCTAGGGACGGTACTGTGGGGGATGGGGCACTGTCGCCTGTGCAGATTCTTGGCTAGTGGCAGTGGACAGAAAGCTCCTCCTTCCTCACTGGAGGTGAGGAAGCTCTCAGGACCACCTAAGCCAGGGCCTGTCGGAAGGCGCTCCAGGCATGGAAGCAGCGGGTGAAGGCATGCTGCTCATTGCCCTTTCGGACCAGGCGCAGGCGGCGGGGCTGCTCATGCTCTTTGGAACGCATGTGCTGGATATATACCTGGCAAAGAAAAACACAGTGGGCCCCAGGTGGTCCCCCCAGACCTGGAGGGCAGCCGGCCACCAGTGCCCTTCCCCCACTCACCTGGCAGGCCTTGAGACTCAGTTTGATCTCCACCTGGCTGGTTTGGGTCCCCACCCACATGTAGACCTGAGGAGACAGCAGGAAAGAGTCACAGGGATGATGCAGAAGTGGCCCCACAATTCCCAGATGGTAAGCTCCTCCTATAAGAGGCAGGACCCTTGATGGGGAGGATTAGGAGGAGGTTGTTGGTTCCTTACCTCTTGACCATTATCTAGCAACATGATGTCATCATCTGCCAGGTCATCCTGGCAAAAGTCAGAGCATTTCTCAGTCACTGCGAAATAACCCTTCTCATTGGAGCACCTGCAGGTCAAGGTGAGACCAGGAGTCACTCAGTGCCAGGACTGAGGGAAGCAGGGGAGGGGACAGTCTTGGCTCTCACCTGAAGAGCCGTGTGTGCTTCATGTACTCCGCGTCATCATCATAGGGCTTCTGTACCCCAATGCCTACCCAGAAGAAGTTCTCCGGTTCCTCACCCTCATTGATGACCTGTGGGAAAAGAGTTTAGCCCAGCCTCAGGTGCTCTGCTTTGGCTCACCTACCTGCCCACCTTCAACCTCAGGCACCTGTTTGCTGTAGGAGGCATCAAACATGGTGTTCAGGATATCTTCTGCCAGCTTAGCTTCATCAGGGTCTGATGCCCGGCCCACCCAGGCATACACGATGCCTTGGTTGTCCTCACTCTCAAAGGGGACCTGTGCAGTATGCAGGGAGTTCAGATCAGGCCTCCCACCATCCTTTCCCAGCTGCCCTGCTCACACCTGCAGCCTACCTTGAGGATAAAGCAGAACTCAGAGTTCAGGAGGCTGGAGTCCGTGTTGATCTGGATGCACCTTGAGGGTAGGGAGCCAAGCAAGGAGTAAGTCAGGTTGCCAGCCCTTGGGGCTCACCAAACCCTACCCACACCCCTAGCCAGGCACCGGGTGCAGAGGGCACTGCCGTTGGTACGGATCTGGTAGAGGCTTGGCTGTTGGACACTATGGGCCATCTTCCTCCTGCCCCGGTGGATGATGAACTTTCTCTTGAAATGAGATAGAAACTTGGGGTTCTCCTGCTGCTGTGTCATGCGCACCACCTGGGGTGAGGAAGTGTTGGGTAGTTCCTTGGACCTTACCTGCTCCATCAGGGCCAAGCCTCCCTGGGGTCTGAGCCCCACCATGCCCTACTGTAGACCATAGGGTGCATGGCCTAGAGCTCATGGGGCAGACGCACCTCCAGCTTGCCTGGGAAGAGGCTTTCAAACTTCTTCTGCAGGCTAAAGGTGAAGGTGAGCCAGCCCATGTTGGAGGCTTCCCGGCCCTGCCAGAAGTACACAATGCACTGGAAGTCCTCCTCTGGCTGTTTATCCTCTGTTTCAGTCGCTGCCTCCTCCCCTTCTTTGCCCTCTTTGTCAGTCTTCCCCTCATCTTTGTGTTCCTTCTTCTCATCCTCTTCACACTCGGCTGGTATCCAGTACCTGTGTTTTAGAGGGTGGTGAGCAGGGGCTGGAGCAACCAACCTTAGGGAAAGGACAGAGGCAGACTGTAATGGCACCTGCAAAGGAAGACGTAGCAGTCCTGTGTGTAAAAGTGGCCAAATTCCTCCTCAGGCAGCCGTGCAAACTTCTTGCCCTCCAACACGAAGCCCTCCATGCCATCCAAATCCTCGTTCCATTCTTCCATCAGCTGCTCCGCCTGCAGGCCCCATCCCCCGGGTCTGAGCCCCTGCTGAAGATCTGAGCAGGGCTCTGTGAGGAGACCCTGACCCAGCCCTCACCCAGGACCCACCTTACCTCTGCTAGTGGCATCGGCGGCTGCCGTGGCAGGAAAAGTGCAGTGAGGTCGGCCTTCATCTGGTCTTTTTTCTCTGTGTCACGTTTAACCTTCCCAGAGAGCCCTGGTCCCTGTAGCACAGCCTCTGCGTTGCGTGTGTAGTCCACAGTCAATACATCATCCCAATTCTTGAATTTGGCCTTGAATACCTACAGGGGGTGCAGTGAGAGGTCATTTCTTGGCCTTTAACCAACATGGTTAAGGTTAGGGTCAAGGGAGATCCTAGCCCAAGGGAATGGGACCTAGAGAGATGGGGCATACCAAAGAGAAGTCAGGTTGGGTAGGTATCTAAGTGGGCAAGGACAGTGGCAACCAGCCTCCAGACGTAGGGCTATACCTGTGCCTCAGTGCCCTCTAGACTGCGGCTGACAGCAGCATGGCGTGGCCGGTGTAGCATTCCACATAGCTCCTGGCCCAGCTTGAGTGCTGCAGCGCGTACCAGGCGTGGGGATTTGCGGCCAAGCCAAATGAATACATCAGACCAACAATCCAGGATGTACACACACCGTGTATCTAGCAGGCTCTGCAGCTGCAGGCAGAAGGCTGCAGGTTAACACCTGGCCATCACTGAGGAGGGATTCCCTGCTCCACCCACCCCTCCTGTGGACTCACCAGCCGCATCCTGGGCATCAGCTCCACCTTGGGCCGCTTCTTATGTTCCACAGAAAGCTTGTAGTTGATCTGTGGTAGCTCTAGGTAGCCCAGGCCCAGGCCCACCTGGCAAGAGGAAGAGATGGCATAGCAACTGGTGTAGGAACATGAGCCCCAACAAACAGCCCCCTGGCTCTGCCTTGCTATGTGGCTTAGGTCCCCTGGCCTTGCTTTCCTAAGGTTGTTTTAAGGATAATCTCAGTGGAATGCTGTTTCTTTTTTAGTTTTTTTTCCCCCCCTATGTGGTACTGGGGATGTAACTCTACCTCCTCAGGCAATGGAAGGGCTTCTTTTTTTTTTTTTTTTGCCAGTCCTGGGGCTTGAACTCTGGGCCTGGGTGCTGTACCTGAGCCCTTCAGCTTAAGGCGAATGCTCTACCACTTGAGCCACAGCAACACTTCAGATTTTCTGGTGGTTAATTAGTCACAGCCTTTGTTTCCCAGGCTGGCTTTGAACCATCATCCTCAGATCTTAGCCTCCTGAGTAGCTAGGATTATAAACGTGAGCTACTGGCACCTGGCTCTTCTGGCTTTTTGCTGTGTATGTGGTACTGAGGAATCAAACCCAGAGCTTCATGCATGCTAGGCAAGCACTCTACCACTAAGCCACATTCCCAGCCCCCTCAAAGAGCTTTTGAAACTACTTTCTTTGCCTGTCCTCCCAGAGCCTTACGATCATTTCTGTTTTTCTAACTTGTCCCTTTACTGCTTATAAGAGCCCCACAGTTGTTGGGCACCAGTGGCTCATTCTTGCAAATCCTATCTACACAAGAGGCAGGAAAGTCCCTGAGATTTACCTCCATATAACCAGCAAATATGCTGGAATTGGAGCTACAGTTCAAGTGGCAAAGAATCAGCTTTGAGCAAAAAAGCCAATGGGTAGCACCCAGGCTGTATTCAAGCTCCAGTAAAAAAAAAAAAAAGCCAAGACTGCTGGCCTTAATACACAGGCATTTCTGTCTCCCCTCCAGGCCAAAGTTCAGCTACTCTCAAGGGCCAAGCCTCAGGCAACTCCTTGACCAGGCAGAGACCCTCTCCCTGCCATCCACAGTACCACTGCAATGCCTGGCCCGTCCCTGGCTTGTCCCCTCAAGCTGGTGAAGTCAGACTAACCCGGTTCCCCAACACTGTGGCTCACCTTGTACAGCTTGGGCTGGGGTGGCCAGAAGTCATCAGGTACATGCTTCTTGATCTCAGAGGGCTCCCCACCCAGCACCTCCCAGAACTCGGGAGGTTCCTGGCCCTGCACCAGTAGGGTGATCTCTGCCTTCCCTTTCCGCTCATTCTTGTTAATTTTTTCTGCAAAGAGTCTGAGGACCAACACAAAACCTTCAGTGAGGCTGGCACCTTCTTAGAGAACATACTCCTTCATAAAGATCACCCCGCAGTACACACTTACCTGGCCTTGGTGGTGCAGCTCAAGGTGGCCTGGCCCCCCCGCCATACATAGATATCCAGGCCTTGGTCCAGCAAGAACACAAACCTGCCCCGGAAGAGTGGAAGTTATAGCAAGCACAAGTTTCCTATGCCAGTGACCCCAACAACAAACTATGATGGGGTTTCAGCCACTTTCTGGATTGTCCTCAGAAACACTCCTG